GGGAGCGCTGCTGCGCTCCCAGCGCCGCACTCTCCCGAGTGCACCACGGGCTCGGCCCTCAAGCCCACTTTTTCTAACCGCTCCTCCCTGCCCCACTCAGCTCCTGACTTGGGAAACTGAGGCTCTCAAAACTGGGGCGTCAGGGCCGGCCTGGTGGCGCGCCGAGGGTTCGGATCCCACATACAGACCGGTTCCCGCTCACTGGCTGAGCGAGGTGCGGGCACAGCACCGAGGTTTGCGATCCCGTTGCCGGTACAGGCGCGACACTGAGGGTTGTGATCCGTTGCCAGACACGAAAAAAGACAAAAAGGAAAAAAAAAAAACAAAAACTGGGGCGTCACCCAACTGACCAGTCCCTCACCTGCTCTGAGCTTGGAGGAAGCATGTTCTGAGCCTCAGCCCATCAGTCAGTAGAGCAAGGTTGCCAGAAAATAAATTTTTTTCTGATGGTTACAAAAAAAAAATTTTTTTTTCTTCTTAAAAATTAGGGATAGAGTTGTTATAGTCCACTTTCTTTTCTACATCAAGGTCCCTGAATTTCAGCCTTTAGCTAGTGGACTTGGACTTCTGACAAGTGGCCTCCCAGGGACAGCGTGGACAGACACGTTCTGGAGACTTGTTCTACTGCAGGAGGGGGCTGAGGCCTGCCTGGTGAGCTTTGTTCAAATATCCTGGTGTTCAGTATTGCTTTAATAAATTTTACCTGCAGCTAAGTACAGGCTGTGTGTGTACATCTGTGTGCATCTTAGTCCATTCCTGCTGCTATAACAAAAATATCTTAGGCTGGGTAATTTATAAACTACAGAATTTATTGCTTATAGTTCTGGAGGCTGAGAAGTCCTAGGTCCAGGGCATCAGCAGGTTCCGTGTCTGGTGGGGGGCCCCTTTCTCATAGATGACGCTTTCTTGCTGTGTCCTCAGATGGCAGAAGGAACAAGTCGGCTTCCTTCAACCTCTTTCATAAGAGCACTAATCTCAGGCTGGCTGGTTATCTCAGTGGTTAGAGCGCAGTGTCGTAACACCAAGGTCAAAGGTTCAGATCCCCATATCAGCCAGCCACTAAGAAAAAGGAGCACTAGTCCCTAAACCATGAGGGGAATCGCCCCATGGCTTAATCCCTTCCCCAAAGGTCCCCCCTCTTAATACTTTCACATTGGACATTAGGGTACAATGTATGAATTTGGGGGGGACACAAACGTGCAGGCCATAGCAGTGCATGCTTGCTTTTTTTCCTAGCAGCTGAGTGACCCTGGGGTCTGTGTGGCCCTTTTTGATCCCTTCTTGCTTTGCTCACAAGACTGTCAACGGGATAGGGAGGACCTGCTACTGGGCTTGAGGTTTGGCTGCCGATACCTGGACAGGGCCCATCTTGGTTGTCAGAGAAATGCTCATGGCTCTGTCGCTTGGCATTGAGTCCTTGAATTTGGGCCGAGAAGAACAGGGTCATGAGAGTCTTTCTTCTCCACCTCATGTGCTAGAGTCTTGCTCCCTGTGCCCTGTCATAGGTGTCCAACGATCCCATGTGGAGACCGGTTCCCGCTCACTGGCTGAGCGCGGTGCGGGCGCAACACCGAGGGTTGCGATCCCGTTGCCGGTCAGTAAAAAAGACAAAAAAGGAAAGAAAAAAAAAGTTTTAATTGTATTTGTGGGGTACAAGGTTATGGGTACATACATTGTAAAATGATTAACTCAAGCTAATAAGGAAATTAGCATATCCATCTCAACTTTGTGGCTTTTTTTTTTTTTTTTTTGGCAACTGGCTGGTAAGGGGATCTAAACCCTTGACCTTGGTGTTACCAGCAGCATGCTCTACCAAGTGGGCTACCGGCTGCTTACCATTCTACCTTTTTGTATTTCTGTTCTGACGGATGACAGATGGCAGGCTTTTCTGAACTAAGAAAAAGAAAAGGTGGCAGCCCAGAGAAGATGTGGATAATGTCTTCCCTTCTCTGAAGCCCATGCCTAGCTGGTTGCCAATGGCGAGGGCTGAAGGCGTGATGGCAGGTGCATGGGACGGCAGAACTGGCTTCATGCACAGTTTGACCTTGACCTTTTCCTGAATGTCAAGAGGCTCTGAGAAGCTTTGGGCTCCAGTCAGTCTCCCACTATCAGGGGCTGGACCTGCTGCAGCAAACAAGGACCAGGCTCTGAGATCAGCCCTGAGCTAAAATCCCAGCTTGACCACTTTCCATGAGACTTGGCTGGGTTGCCTCTCTGAGCCTCAGTTTCCTCATCTGTCAAATGGGTACAAAAAGGACCTCGTTTGCCTGGTGGATATAAAGGGCTTGATACAGTCCCGATCGCCCTGAAGACGCCCACGTTCACTGTTTCTAACACCTCATGCACATTGGACGTACACGCAATGTGGATGGTTAAAATAATTGGAGTTTGTCCGAATTTTGTTGCATCCGAAGATTCAACTTTTGGGGGCATTATGAGGAAAAAACACGCAATCACAAATCCAAAACTAGGTGCAGCCTGGCTGGTTACCTCAATTGGTTAGAGCTAACCAACTGATAACACCAAGGTCGAGGGTTCAAGTCCCCATATCGGCCAGCTGCCAAAACCAAACCAAAACAAATAAATAAAATTAGGTGCAACAGAAAACTTGCCTCTTGACACTTAATAATCAGTACTTGCTGTGTAGCAGGCACTGTGTTAAATGACTTAGACTAGAAGTTTGAAGACTACAAGGGCCAAGTACCACCCAAGCATTGTTTTTTATATTGTTTTGATATTTGTATGGCCCATGAGCCTAGAATAGTTTATGTTTTTAAAGGATTTTATTTTATCTTATTTTTTTCCTGGTATACAGTGTACATTTATCAATGTATCATTAATAATATCTGTACACTTGGAAAGCATGATCATCTGAGTATATTGAAATCTTTCTTATTTTTATTTTTAAATTTTAAAATCTTTTTTGGCAGCTGACCCATACAGAGATCAAACCCTGGACCTTGGTGTTATCAGCACCATGCTCTAACCAGCTCTGCTAACGGGCCAGCCCTAAACATTTCAATTATAATCTGTTTATGTCGTATACACTCCTTTACTTTATCCGGCATCATTTTCTTTGAACAAATATTTCATTTTTCAAGTTGCATTCAAATCCAAATATTCAATTTTATCATTACATTCTGTTATTTTACAATTTTTTGAGAGAATACTTGGTCTTGATTTTTTTCTCAAAAAGCAATAACAAAACTACGAGTAAAACTTTAAACCAGAAACAAGTCTCATCACAGAAAGGACATCTTAATAATCTTTAAACACTTCGAGGATATTAGCTGCATCATACTTATATTTATATAACAGATACATATATTATTATTATTATTATTATTATTATTATCATTATTATTATAAGAGACAAAATTCAAATATGGGCTGGTAACTTTGTACTTATTTTTTTTTTTTGTCCTTTTTCAGACCGGCCGCACCGCGCTCAGCCAGTGAGCGCACCAGCCATCCCTATATAGGATCCGAACCCACGGCAGGAGCGCTGCTGCACTCCCAGCGCCGCACTCTCCCGAGTGTGCCACGGGCTCGGCCCTTTCATTGCTTTTTTAAAAAATGGTTATTTATTGTTGGTATATCAGTAAACTATTTATTGATATTTGTGTAATATTATCTCCTGTGATTTTGCTAAGCTAACTTTATTTTTAACAATGACTTTATTTCTTTTGATAGCTTTATTATGAGATAGATCCTTTGCAAAAGCTTATTTTGATATTTTCTGTCTGTGTGTGACTGGCTGATATGGGGATGTGAACCCGTGACCTTAGTGTTACAAGGCTGTACACAAAGTAAATAAGAATATGCCACAGAGACTGCACGTGGCCAGCAAAGCCTAAAATATCTGCTATCTGGCCCTTTACAGAGAAAGTTTGCCGGACCTGCTAGAGATCACTGTCCTGTATTTCTTCCTGTGACATCATACAGCTTACACTTTTAAACATTCCTACCAGTACAGACAGTCCCTGCCTTGCCATGGTTGGACTTAGGATTTTTCAACTTTGCGATGGCATGAAAGTGATACCCATTCAGAAGAATCCGTACTTCAAGTGCCCATACAATTATTCTGTTTCTCACTTTCAGCACAGGATCCAATAAATTACATGAGCTCTTGAACACTTCATTGTAAAACAGGCTTTGTGTTAGATGATTTTGCCCAACTGTAGGCTAACGTACGTGTTCTGAGCATGTTTAGGGTAGGCTAGGCTAAGCTATGGTGGTTGGTGGGTTAGGTGTATGAAATGCATTTTTGACTTATGGTATTTTCAACTCACAAAGGATTTATGGGGACGTAACCCCTTCATAAGTCGAGGAGCATCTGTATTTGAAAACTGGGATGTGTACTGTAACTGAACATGATCATTAAGCCACGCTCCTAATACTAGGGCTAAGGGTGTGGTCACATCTCCAGCAGTGGATAAAAAATGGTGGTCAAGCTGGGCAGGGAAGCAAATGCTTGAGACTGAAGCCAGATGGACCAGTGTTATGCCTGTCCCCAAGAGAGATGCAGGGGTGAGTGGGGGACTTTGGTCACCCCCAGGCCCACTTAGAGAGCTGAAATGACCCTCTATACTGTCCCATTTGCAAGGGCAGGGGAATGTCCCCATCTCTTGAGGGCTCTAGGTCTGATGGGCAAAGATTTTCAAACCTTTATTTAAAAAAACATGTCCTGACAGTCCCGTTCCCGGGTTTGTACCCAAGCTAAATGGGACCAGATGTGTACACAAAGACTTGCCTCCCAAACGTTCATGGTTACTTTATATATAATAGCCCCCCAAGCTGGAAACAACCCAAGTGTGTAGCAAGAAGAAAATGGATAAATTATTGGGGGTAGATTCCCACATGGAATAGTATACAGCAATGAAAAAGATATATACCTGATACTCACAACAGCATAGAAAAACCTCACAGGTATGACATGGAATGAAAGAGGCCAGACACAAAAGAATCCACTTAAATGAAGTAGGAAACCAAACTATGACGAGAGAAGTCAGAGTAGCAGTTGCCTGGTGGGTGAGCTGGAGACAGCACAGAAGGAGACTTCTGAGGCCTGGGAAGGATCTACATCTTGGTTTGGGTGTTGGCTAACGGGGAGTGTGCACAGATGTGAACATCCAAGCTTCTGTCCACTTACAGTTTATGGCCTTGACTGCATATGACTTATACTTCAATACAAATTAAGAAAGAAAGTAAAATGTGGTTGGTGATGGGGGAAATGAGACCTTTTCATTTCTGGCGGGATAATTTGGGGAAGGATCTGGCAAGTATTTGGTAAAACTGAGAATGTATCTTCTCCGTGTCCAGAAGTCCCAGAAGTTCCCCTTCTCTGTAGCTACTTTAGAGAAACACTGTAGATTAACCCTTTCACCAATCCCATCAGACAGGTGCTGCTATCATTTCCATGTGACAAGGGAGGAAAACTGAGGTACAACTCAGCTCACCCTCGCCCCCCCATCCCCACCCAGCTAGGAGATGGCAGAGTCAGGATTAGAACTCAGAAAGCCAGACTTCACAGTGCTCATAACCAGCACCTTATAAGGTAGCGATGCCTGTTGTGGGGGGAATAGTGGAAGCAACCAGAATGTCCAGTGACTGGGGATCCAAAAAATTCAGACACCACCATGCTGAGTGAGACCACAGCACACCTAAAAAGAACAAGGCTGGGGGCTGGGGCTGGCTGGTTAGCTCAGTTGGTTAGAGCATGGTGCTGATAACATCAAGGTCCGGGGTTCAGATTCCCTTACTGGCCAGCAGCCAAAACAAAACAAAAAATATACATATATAATAAAGAATGAGGCTGGGCTACATATCTTGACTTGGAAAAATGTCGAAGACGTGTTATTGATGGAATAAAACTAGATGCAGACAGTCCCCAACTTACAATGATTCAACATAATATTTCAACTTTACAATGGGTTTATCAGGACATAACCTCATTATAAGTTGAGGAGCATCTGGATTTATGATGATTCAACTTACGGTTTTTTTTTTTTTACTTTACAATGGGTTTATAAGGGTATTAAATGCATTTTCAACTTATGTTCAATTTATGATGAGTTTATTGGGATGTAACCTCATTGTAGGTCAAGGAGCTTCTTCACTGAGACTGTCTACTTCAAGGGTCAGTGAACTACAGATCGTGAGCCGTGTTTGGCCCACCACCTGTTTTCGTAAATATGTTTTTATTGGAACATAGCCACATTTGTTTATGTATCATCTATGGCTATAATGGCAGCACTGAGAAGTTGCGACAGAGCTAGTGCCTGTCCTGTAATTCCCCAAAAATCTATTTGGTCTTTTGCAGAAAATAGTTTGCTGACCTCTGGCCTATGCAAATTAAAAAGCAAATGAGACCAAAGAATGCTCAATATCATGCTCATGGATACATGTCTGTGTATGCAAAAGTGGAAAACAGAATGGGTGGGTTCCTGAGTGGAGGGCTCTGGGGTGGGGGCGGGGAGGTTGGGGAGAGAGAAATTGGATGTGAACTTGGACATCAACTGAGATTTTATTTCTTTCACTGAAGAAGGAAGATTGGTAACCACCTGTCTATGGGTGGTCAAATGCATGTATCTGCAGTCCAGATGTTCTCCCGGAAGCCTGGATGCTCCAGCTGTTGCCTTCTCTAAGCCACTGTTTCCTCACCTATAAAATGGGCACCATGAGGGCTGGCAGGTTAACTCAGTTGGTTAGAGCGCCGTGTTGCTTCACCAAGGTCAAGGATTTGGATCCCGTACCAGCCAGCCAAAAAAATTTTTTAAAATGGACACCATCAAATCTGCCCAGAAGGGTTGTTTTATGACACTGGTCAGATGATCACCAGGATGTTTTTGATATGGGGACAGGAGGCAGCTACTAGGTACTCCAAAAACTGGTGATGGGGAGGGGGCTGGGGGACAGAGAGCCACTGGGAAGTGTTTAATGTCCTCTTCTCCACCAGCTGGGGAGACCACCTAGGCAAGGACCAATTTTCTTTTCCTTTCTGATGTATTTCCAGAACCTGGACATGCCTGCTATTCAGTAGGTGCTCGATAGAACTTCACCCTCAGTGGAGAGGCGCTGAGGGAGGGGATTGGGGGGATGTACCATCTACATCATCTCCCTTTGTATCCCCCTCCAAAGGACCTGAAGGTGAACTTCAGTCTGTGGGGCGTGGATCTCTTGGGGGATCTAATGATGGAATTCAGGATGTCCATGAACTCTGATGGGAAAAAAGTCCACATCTTTATTTTCACTATCTCTACTTTATATTTACCATTTCCTCAGCTATGAATGAAGGCAGCAGCAGGACTTGTGACTTTGTCCCCAATAAAAACCACAGGCACTTTTGTATCGATGCCACCACCTGGGATGACTTGGAATATGTCTGACACCCGTCACTACTGCAAAATCACTGTGGTTGTTAGATCTGGTTATTTGGTGATTACTATAAAAGTATACTCCTAAATTGTTGTTTAGGGCTAACTCTATTTCAAAAGGTTTTGTTTTGTTTTTTAAAGATGACCGGTAAGGGGATCTTAACCCTTGACTTGGTGTTGTCAGCACCACGCTCTCCAAAGTGAGCCACGGGCCGGCCCTTGAAAAATTCTTTACATGATTCTTATAGGTACTTAGAATTTTTTAAAAATTGTGATAAAATGTACATAACTTGAAATTTACCTTTTAACCACGTTCAAGTGTACAGCTCAGTGGCATTAAGCACGTTCACATGGCTGTCAGCCACCACCACCATCATCTCCAGAACTTTCTCATCTCCCCAAACTGAAACTCTGTCCCCATGAAACACTCACTCCCCATCCCCCTCCCCAGCCCCTGGCACCCCCCATTCTACTTTCTGTCTCTGTGGATCTGACGACTCTAGGGACCTCCTATGAGTAAGATCATATGGCATTTGTCCCTTGGTGACTAGTGTCTTTCATTGAGCTAAATGTCCTGAAATTTCATCCACATAGTAGCATGTGTCAGAATTTCCTTCGTTTGTAATGCTGACTCATATTCCACAGTATGAGTGGACCACATTTTGTTTATCCAGTTGTCAGACCATGGACCATTAAGTTGCTTGTTTGTTTTTTTGTTTTCTTGGCGGCTGGCTGGTACAGGGATCCGAACCCTTGACCTTGGTGTTATAACTCTGCACTCTAACCAACTGAGATAACCAGCCAGCCCTGTTTTTAATAAATATACGTATATGTATATTTAAAAGCTACTCAAGTGAAACCAGTGGGACGGAGAAGTAACAAAGAAATCTGTGACCAGTTGTGATCAATTAGTCGTAAACCCCACTACACTCGGACCCATCTAAAAATACTTTAATAAATGCACTTCAACATAATGTAGTTCCTTGTAACCGCCTGTATTTTTTAATGCATCTGCAAATGGTATCTTGAGAAGAGGTTCTGAGCTTCTCCAGGCTGACAAAGGGGTTCAGTCAAAGGCGTTCTGACCCTCCTGGGCCCCTTCCTCCTTAAAAGCAAATTTAAAATTATATTTTCCAAAGGGTCTGGAAGGTTTGCTCGGTTGGTTAGAGGTGGTGCTGACAACACCAAGGTCCAGGTTTCCATCCCTGTACTGGCCACCTGCTGAAAACAATTTATATTTTACCACTGGGTTGGTATAAAGACATAGGTATAATCCCATTCCCAGCCCCGCATTTTAAAAGAAGTAAAAACACTTTCGTGGTCCCCTAAAAGTATGGTGGAGCCTGGACACCTTGTCTAACTGTGCCCAGTGGATATGTCCACCCTGGGTCTAGGGCCCCCAAAGAGGTTAGGACCCCTGTGAATTTATTTTTTTAATTCATTATTTTTAGTTGACAGGTGTTCATTGCACCTGTTTCTGGGACGCCCCCCCCTTACCC